AGCGCGTTGTGCCATCTGGATATTTAGTTACACGTATATCTAGCCACTGTAGACTTTCTTAGCTTCTAGCGACATCTAGCGAAGATTTTTAATACTTATTATTCGTTTTGTAAGGTACAGTATAAAATAATAAAAAAATACTGTACTAGTAAAAAAATATGCTGCGTGAATAACACTAGAAACGAAAACTGCGATGAAAGGCTCATGTAATTATGGAGGAACTGAAAAGGAATAATAATTTTTTTATTATTAGACAAAGAATTAACTAAACAATATTTTATATTTTATTCGTTTTAACCATTAGTTGATAACATCTTTGAATTTTTAAACAAATATAAAAATCATACGCGTATTTAAAGAAATGAAAAATATGAGTTTTATTATATTAAGTTATCTTTAAGCAAAACATTTTTTTCTTAACTTTACCAAATTCAAAACCACTGATTTAATAGGATATTTTTTTTGCAGAAATATTGTGAATATCTCATAACTTAATACGTTAACGTTGTGATTGATGTTATTAACCTTTCTTTGAATTTATTCAATTGTATAGCATGTCGACGAATCATACATTAAGGATTTAAGATGAAATTTCCAAGATCTAAGTTGAAATTTCTTGATTTCTTTCTGTGGAGATTTATTTAGAGACAGAGCGTATAGAAATAATCCATATATCCTAGACCAGTGTTTTTAACCTTTTTCTCATAGAGGATCGGTAAAATTATGGATAATTTTATGCAGACTAAGTAATTTTGTGCGACTATAAATTATGCTTACTTATTAAGCTTACATATGCTAATCTAAAGTTACTGTACGTAAAAAAGTACGTACAGTAACTCTAGATTACTATTTAAATGACACCTATAACTGAGCCAGCGTAAAATACTTTTCTGCGGTCGATTCAACTAAGACTTCTATGCGTCTCACGAAACATGTGTAGGTCCATCAACTTGTGTTTTCAGAAATAGAGATTATATTCAATACCTGTGGTGAATGGTAAATTATTCACTATTACTTACACTACTTATGCAAACAATCCTACATTCACAATAAATTTTGAAAGTTTGAGATGGGGGACTTTATGAACAGCATGTTTTGTAAAGACTGAGAACCTGTAATAAACTATATTAGGCCCTACTATGTATTGTAAAACTAATTTTGTAATGCTAAGAGATCTGCTAATAGTATTTCTTTATCATAAACGTAAAGAATTAATCATAGATGTACAGAAATTCTGCAGTACCTTTAGCTTTTTGTTTTTTTTCCATATGCAAAGATTAACAACGCAAAGATTAACATATCTTGATGTATTCTTTATTTTTTAGAAAGATGTAAATCATTTCTATTCGAAAATGTTTTATATGGCCACAATTAAGTACTCGTATTTAGTCAGAGAACTGATATCATCAGCTCTTGTCTGATCTATACACAAAGATATTGTGAAATCCGCGATTTTTACGCCGATGTCGGAAAAATCTTTGTAAACAACTCCGATGGAAAAACCCACTCTTGGTGAGAAGTATATCGGAGGTCACCGATTGTTTTCACATTATGATGGGAAAGTTGACAGTTAGTTGATCGGAATGCACCGTAAGTGTCAACTGAAGTCGATCACGTGCCTCATTTCCCACGAATAACGTATAAAAGCTCGAGTCCCCGGAAGCTCAGGGCGATCCCTCGGAAGTTATACTTGGTAGATGTGCCATATTTGTCTCCATACTCCGGACCGAAAGGACATACGACCAACCACAGCCGTTTGAACTTCCATCGCCATTAACGAACATATTCAACGAACGCATTTTAGACATATCGGCATACAGGTATCTGTACTTTTTAGAGCTTTGTGAACTCTCTCTCAGACTAGCAGGTAAAGCTATTAGAGCGTCCCTTTTGTACAGTGAATTTATTTAATCGCATTTAACCTATGTATCCTAGCTTAGTTATATAAATAAATGCTTGTTTTGTTTTTAAACCTGTCTCCTGTCTCTGAAGGACACCTGCCG